CCAACAAAAGAAAATAGAGAAGCTGGTGTGGTGGTGCATGTCTATAGGAAGGCTGAGGCAGTAGGAGCACTGAGTTTGAGGCCAGCCTGGAATACACACTGAGGTCCTGTTGCACACACACAAAGGATTTCATTAAAATTTGAAACTTTTACACTGCAAAGTATCTCATTAAGTAAAGGGAGTGCCTGACATGGTGTGGGCCTGTAACCCCAGCACTCAGCAGGCTGAGGTAGGAGGATCTCTATGAGTTCAAGGTCACCTACCCTACAAAGTGAATTCAGGACCAGCCTAAACTGCATAGTGAGACCTTATCTCAAAAAAACAAAGCAAAAAGTAAAGAAAAAAACTCTCAGAGGGGCCAGGGAGATGGCTCAGTGGAACAGGTGCAAGGGCCTGAGTTTAATCCCCGGTTCCGCAAAAAAAAAAAAAAAACCTTCTCAGAATAGGAGAAAAGATTTGAAAATTGCAAATATAGTAAGAAAATTATATCCAGAAAGTATAACTCTTAGAACTCAATAATAAAAAGACAACCCAAGTCAGACGTGAATAAAAAACTTGAGTAGACCAAAGAAGATGTAAAACTGGCCACCAGGGACGTGCAAAGGTGCTCAACATCACTAGACATTAGGAAAATGCAAATCAGAAGCACAAGACGCACACTGCACCCGCTAGCAGGGCTGCACGCAAAGCCACCGCAAGGGCCTGTACAGTACGAAAGCAGGTTTTGAGCACACAAGGCCTCAGGCTTGACCTGCAACATCACAAACAAGCATCCATCCATGCCAGGGACAATAACAGTTCTCAAAGAAGTGGACACTGGAGGGCTCTTTACATTGCTACTGGGTGTGAAAATGACAGAGCTACGATGGAAAACAATGAGGCCGTTCTTCAAAATGTCAAACATAGTTATTCACTGACCCAGCAATTGTACTCTTAGATATAAGCCCTATAGAAACAGCAGGCATAACACAAAATTTGCGCATGAAGCGTTCCTAGAAACATTATTCATGATAGAGTGGAAACACTAATCTTTGAACCTTGACTACTGTAGGCTAAGAAGCCAGTTCCAAAACAAAGTGGACTGCATGAAAATATTCATGCAAAATGTGCAGAACAGGCACACCTTTGAGACAGAGAGTAGGTTGGTGACTAGGGATGGATATGTGTCTTGGATAAGGTATGCAGGGTTACTTCTAAGGAGCAAGGGGTTCATGTGGGGAGATGAAAATGTGCCAACTGAGGTTCAGCAAGATAGCTCAGTGGACTAAGCACCTGCTTAGGCAAGCTCAAGGACTGGGGTTTGATCCCCAGCACCACATGCCACTCTGGCCCCACCCCCGGGCATGCTGAGCCCACCACTGAGATCCGGGGAGGTGGTGCACGCCTATGATGCCAGTGCTGGGGAGGCTGAAAACAGGAGGACTACAGTAAGTCCAAGTTGCACAGAGAAATCCTGTACCAAATACATAAAAAAGGAGGAAAATGTACTAAATTTAGGTTGTGGCACCTACAATGCCCTGCTGAACCCCAAGCACCAAAAACAAAATGAACAGATAAAATTAGACTGTGGTAACAGATGCAAAACAAGCCACTCCACTAAGATGACGCAGTGATGGGGTGCTGCTCCACTCATTAAACACCAAGGTCACACCCCCTTTTTTTTTTCCAGTACATTTTTGGTATCAGGAATTAAACTCGGGACCTTGTGCTTACCAGGCAGGCACTGGGCCGTTCAGCTATCTCCCCAGCCCTAAACATTGAGGTTATTTTCACCTAAGTTTATATGAACAATATTTAAAATCATACTACCTTTCAATAGGGAACAGCTTATCTTTCCCTATTTTATCTTCATGTGCTTTCAATTCCTGACCCATTTATGTTATCCACCGATATTTTTTCCTTTTTTTTTTTTTTTTTGGCACTGGGAATCAAACTCGGGGTTTCATGCTTGCCAGGCAGGCACTGTGCCACTGAGCCACATCAACTGCTCCACTGATTTTATTTCTTGTGTACTAGTTCAAGGATATATATTGTATTTGGCTTTTTCTTTCTACATCTAAAGATAAAATCAGTTTTAATTGGGAAATATTCTATTTAGTTGTAGTTCTTTTTTTTTTTTTTTTTTTTTTTTATTTATTTATTTGAGAGAGAGAGAGAGAGAGAGAGAGAGAGAGAGAGGCCAGCTCAGCCCACCAGGGGGCAGGGCTGGCTGGCATGTGGTGCTGGGGGATTGAACCGCGGTCCCTGATGCTTTTGCTAAGCTTGTTCCAAGTAGGTGCTTTAGACCACTGAGCCATCTCTCCAGCCCCTAGTTGTAGTTCTTAACACATGCAATGCTGCAAAATTACTGAATATTCTCTTCCAAGAAATTCTAATGTAAATAATTTGTATAAATTTATGTGATGCTCTCAATAATTAAAGCCTACATGTTTGGTTTCTATGTGAGAAACCATCAACAAGCTATAACTCAAACAAAGGATTCAGCCACATTTTTTTTTTTTTTTTAGTGGAACCAGGGATTGAACTCAGGTCCTTGTGCTTGCCAGACCCTGCCTCTACAATGCTATATTATTAAATTTGAGCTAAGAGAGGTCAGGACGAGGGTCCACAGACATTCAAGTCACCTAGCACTGCTACAAGTGTCTACTTCATGTAGTCCACGGCCACTGTGCACTAGAGGAAGAGCAATTAGGAGATGACAGCTTCCAAAATCAAGTTGCATACATCTCTGTGTTAGTTGATACATTGTATCAACTTGGCTGAATCAGCTCTGGGGATCTCAGCATGGGGGCCAAGCCCTGCAGGTGGGCAGGTGGCCAGGAATTGAGAAAAGCAGGAAGCCACCCTGCCTGGTTTCCTGCTGCCCCGACCGGATCCCGTGGAGAAGTCCCAGTCTTCGGAGGAGCTTGGTCTTCCCGCCACAACTTCGAACTTCACTGGAGTGCTGATCTTCGCAGTCAGCGTAGAAGGAAGAGAGAGGCTTGATGGACGCCGCTGCAGCTGCTGCTTCTCCTCTGCTCTTCATTGTTTTCTGCTGCATGAACTGCTGTTGTTTGCCTTGGAGCCAGTGGAATATGGACTGATCCCTCCAGTAACTGTGAGCTAAATAAGCCTTTCCTTCCTTCGAGTGTCGGGTATTTGTCCCAGCAATGAGTAAAAAGTAACTAAGACAATCTCCCAAATATAGTAAGCTCAAAGGATTCTACACAGAATGACCACATAAACGAAGCCATGAAATCACCACAACATGACACTAGGACATTAGCTTGTTGAAAGACACACAGAAGCTGAGCATAGCAGTGTGTGCTCACAATCGTCCATACTTGGGAGGCCCGGGCCAGCCTGGGCACCACAGAGAGACCTTATCACACAGAGGTGATGGCATATTTATCTCCTCATAAACATAGTACACTTGTTCCCCTTCAGGTTCCCCACACCCTCTTCAGTGCAGTGCTCTACAGTGTGGAGGACCACCTGAGCAGCGCTCCTTGAAAGAAGAGTGCCTGTCTCCATTTTGGCTGAGCCTGACCCTATTTCCTCGTACTGTTATGTAGAGAGCTGGCTAGGACTTCTGTTTATCCTTCAGTTGGCCTTGAGCAATGTATATTGGTCTAGCTGAGGTGCTGGTGATAGTCTCTGAAGGTGGCGTGCGTGTTTCCCTGGTAACCTACACCTGCTGCTCCTTAATGTGAGCTGGGTCGAGACAGGTCAAGATGAAGAGCCAATGCTCCGCGCCACCAGCTGGGATCAATCCTTGGGAGGATATGACTTCCCGGAGTTTGAAAGACATCAAAGCTGAAGCACCAGACCCTCCAAAACAGTAGACACTATCTCAATAGCATAAAGCAGATTACTTTCTCTGCGTATCCTCTCACCTACTTCCCACAATTCTTGGTCATTCCTCAAGCCACTCCTCCACAGAATAAAAATGGATGAGGCCCTGGGTCAGCCTCTTTGTTCCAGAAAGCCATCTTCATGGCTGGACTTAGGGGCCCTTGGCTCCCCAATAATTATATGTTTTAGTGTCTTTACTTTCACCGTGGGTTATGCTGGGAGTGGTAGATTGGAATTAACTTGGTGGGATTTTAATAACGTATCTTTGGCATTATAAATATTAACTTCTTGGACTGAGATGAAAACCAGGAAGGGACTCCTACACTACAGTACCTTGGGGTTCATTTCGGAGGACTAACAAACAGCTGTCTGTATGGAGTCACTTCCAAGGCATTCAGTATCAGAAACTAGGGCCGGGGCCTGGGGAGACAGCTCAGTATAGTAAGTGCTTCCCTGGCAAGCACAAGGGCCTGAGTTCAGTATCCCCAGTTCCACAAAAAAAAAAAAAAAAGAAAAAAGAAACAAACAAACAAACCAGGGCCAGCCACATAGCTCAGCGGACTAAAGTGCCTGCTTCCGCAGAGCACAGCTGCTGGGGTTCAATCCCCAGCATGCCATGCTGGCCCCACACCCCCAGGGTGCACTGAGACAATTGAGACTGGGTATGGTGGTGCGCACCTGTAATCCCAGTGCTTGGGAGGCTGAAAACAGGAGAATCACTATGAGTCTATCTACGTAGTGAGACCCAGGACACCCTGTAGACCCTGTCGTAAACTCATAAAAAAAAGGAAGAAAAAAAAAGAAACCAGCCACACGTAGAGAATGAATTATTAAGATGTTTTATTCCACATGTATCAAGGCAGGGACAGAAATTCAGAGCTCAACTATAGCATTCTAAATTTTAAAATCAAAATAAAATAACCAGCATCGTAAAACCTTGCATTCACAGTATTGAAGCTAGAAAAAGAATGTTAAAATTAAAAAATAAACATTTAACGCAGGAAGAGACTCAGCATGTTTCAACAATATTCTGAACTTGCGAACACACTGCCCCGTGTCAAGACCACTCTGTTCCACAGGATCTCACTGAGAAAAATTTCTCCATTTCTCTGTGCCCACTTCTGGGTCCCAAATGGAGCAGCTATTATGTATATCTCTGGTAACATTTTATGGAAAATAAATGCCCAATTTCACTTAATATTTCCTTTTCAATTCACTTTTTATAGCAGACATATTGATTTCATCTTGAACATGATATGCCAGATAGCCTGAGCTTCCGGGAACAAAGTCATGTAATTCCCCGAGGAATTTCTCCAAGGCATCAATTGATACATAACCTACAAAATATGAAAGGTAAAGATAATACACACTTGAAATCTTGTATCATCTGCATTTCAATGTGTTTTGGACTCAAAATCTGCATTTCAATGTGTTAAGGACTCAAAATGTCCCCCAAAGAGTGTCTTTTAAGATTTTTAAAATGTTTTTTAGAAAAGAATTTGAAAGGTTATTAAATGATTCCAGAGAAGACTGTTTTTGTTAAATCTTTTTTTGTTGTTAAATCTGATTATGAGGCAACATATTCTTTCTCCCACCCTACAACCTTTTACCCCTTTGAAGCCACAGTTGTTTGTTTGTTTTTCAGACAGGATGTCACTATGTAGCACAGGCTAGCCTTAAACTCACAATCCTCCTGCTGTATCTTCCCCAGTAGCTCAAGAGTACAGGCTCTGTCTTAGTTACTTTTCTCATTTGCCACGATAAAAACATCCAACACTCAAAGTTAAAAGGAGAAAGGTTTATTTAGCTTGGAGTTTGTAAAAATTTCAGTCAGTTATTGGCTGGCTCCAAGGCAGGGTGGCACAAGGCATAGGTGCAACTATCACAGTGGTGGAAGACAACAAAAGCAACGAGAGGGGACTATCCTCTTTCTGCTCCTTATACTATAACTGTATGCAGGGTACCTGCCCTAGGCCTATGTGTCATCTGCACCCTTAATCCCAGCACTGTACTACAAATCAATCACACACTCTAGATTCAGCCACCTCCAAAAAATCCCCAGCTACAGGTGCAGGAAGCTTTGTGGGGAAGACACTGACCATAATAAGCCTGTAGCACCATGGCCAGTCAAACCCTGGATTTCTGATAGCTGATTTCACTAGGAGTATGACGTTCGGGTGGGAACTGGAACAAAAAAGCACCCAGACCAAGATAACTAAGGGTAACTGGCTTAGACAGGAACCGCTTAGAATGATGTTACCAACAGCTGCTAAGAGCACAGCAGCTCACCTTCCCTACTGGAGCAGGCAGTGCTTTCCTGCAGTGCCAGCACCTGGATAACATTCTTCAGTGAAAAGCTAATTAAAAAAATAACTCTTCCTTCATTAATAATCTGCTATAGAGATGAGTATCAGGAGGAAAAAAGGAAACCTTGCCCAAATGCAGAAAACTCAGAGATTCAAAGACTGTAAGCGATCACCTGAACACAATCGCTCACTATCTGAGTGATCAGATATAGGTCACTCAAATGTTTGTGGTTGCTAAAGCTGAAATCTAATTTAAAAGTAAATATTGTATGAAAAAACCCCAGTACAACTCAAGTATGATTGAATTTAGTATACCACTACCATTAAGGCCCACAAGTAATCTATGCATATAGTTTAGTTGCTTTCATAATAAATATGTAAGGAATAAATTCAGTTAATAAACTATCAAACCAACCATATAAAATTAGTAACTTTATATTTTATTAACGGTCATTTACTTTTTTTTTTTTTTTTGGTGGAACCAGGGATTGAACTCAGGTCCTTACGCTTGTCAGGCAAGCACTTATTCCACTGAGCCATCTCTCCGGCCCAGTCATTTACTTTACTAGATCTCCTTTAACTCTTATTTTTATTACTGCATGTGTACCAGCGCAGTACCGCATGACTGCACTCGCCCTGGGAGCTGGTATGACATCACACTTGAAGCACTGTTGCCAGACTTCATGTTCATGATCTTAGCATAATGGCTGGGTGCCTGCACAAGATATATTTTAGAGACAGGGTCTCGCTGTGTAGTTCAGGCTATCCTTGCATTCACAGAGTGGCTAAGAATTTGTGGTGATCCTCCTGCCTTGGCCTCCCGAGTGCTAGGACTACAAGTGTGGGCCACCACGCACGGTGACCTGTGTGAAACAAACTAGTGAAGAAAAGTATTAATGTTGACTTAGTTGCACATGTACACTGCTTGAGGTTTCTAAAGACACATGTGAAGGCAGAAATAAAAATTACTACATCAGGGGCCAGGGGGACAGCTCGGCAGCATAGGACCTTGCAAGTACAAGGTCCCGAGTTTGATCCCTGGTACTACAGAAAAAAATTAGTACCTCAGTAAAAATATTCCCACGAGAAGGGGAGGTGTGATATTATTGCATAGATGTTTTTGGCTCTTATCCATGGACCCAATCAAGAAGAATTTCTCTTTCTCTAGGTGGTGTATAGAAATGCCAACCTACCTCTACCCTTCTGTTGGAACTGGTCATAAAGGAATTCCCTGATCTACCCTTACCAAATAGTAGGTCAAAAGAGTCTCCTCTTGCAGGTGCTGGGTAAGCATGTCTTTATTGTGTGACATGCTGATTTTACTATTTACTACCGATCTCCTTATTAGTTACTAAGTCCAACAAACATGAGCTGTTTAGTGCCCGTTAATGGGGTTACCTGAAGCACAGTCAGTGCAAGCATATACAAGGACAGCAGGTATGCACACATCCACTGAAGGTGCAAGTATTGGGTGAACCTGGGCAGCCATCAGATGGTCCTTTTCTCAGGACCTCAGGACTTGTTTAGTTCATTGTCCTGAGAGCTCCCAAGAACTCTTCAGAGGCTCAGGACTGATTTCTATTATCATCACTAGGCAGGACAGTTCTTTGATTTCTCCCAAACATCCCCAAACTATGCATTAAAACTTCTTCTTTGGGCTGGTGAGATGGCTCAGTGGTCTAAAGCACCTACTTAGAACAAGCTTAGCAAAAGCAAAGGGACCGCGGTTCAATCACCCAGCACCACATGCCAGACAGCCCCGCCCCCTGGTGGGCTGAGCTGGCCACACACATAAATAAATAAATAAATAAATAAATAAATAAATAAATAACTTCTTAAGGGCCAGGGAGATGGCTCAGTGCAATAAGCGCTTCCCTGCCAAGCGCAAGGGCCCGAGTTCCAATCCCCGGTTCTGGAAAAAAAAATTTTTTTTTCTTCTTAAAGTGATTTCAAAAAGGTTGTTTTCTGCTACTCAAATGAAGAAGAAGAGGAAGAGGAAGAGGAAGAAGAGGATGAAGGAGAAAGAGAAGAAGAAATGGTTAGAAGCGCTACAGATTTGTGGACTGTTAGCAGAGGTAGATTTGATACTGCTGAATGAGAAAATAGTATGCAATACAAATTATTTTTAAATCCCTTCAAAAACCTATGCTCTTAAAATCGTCATGCTTCAAAAGCTCTATTTAGATTTGCTATTGTTATGGTTTGTGTCTAGAGCTCCCCACAAAGCGACAAGTCATAGGGTTCTTTCAGAGGTGAGTGAATCTAGAATGTGTGACTGATTCCCGGTGTAATGCTGGGATTTAAGGGTGCTGGGAGAAAGGGAAGGTTCGTGGTTTGTACCTAGTTGTCTCCCAAAGCCTCATGTAGTCACCTCATGTAGTCATGGGCCAGGCTTCTAGAGTTTGTGATTAATTCTTTATCCAATGCTGGGATTATGGGTGTGAGTGCTCCACCTGCCCAGGGGCAGGTAATCTGCACACAAATGTAAGGAGGGGAGAGGCCTGCTAGCTGCCACAGCTGCTGCTCCTCCCTTTGATTTTGCTTTTTCCCCTGCCATGAGCCATGAATGGCTGCCCTCTGCCATGTGCCACTCTGCCTGGGAGTCAGCTGAGTATGGACTGAAACCTCTACTGGGAGCTAAATAAACTTTTCCTTCCTTAATTTTTTTTTTCCTTCCTTAATTTTGGACGTCGGGTATTTTGCCTCAGCAATAAGAGAAAAATAACTAAGACAGTGGGTAATTGCTGGATCATTCCATTGATTGGAATGGCACTACCCTGATCCCAATAGACTGGATACAGTATAAAGGACAGGAAGAGGCTTGTCTTGCTCTCTCATTACTTCTACTGTCTTCCACTGCCATGAACAGTTACCCCTCTGCCATATGCCACCCTGTCTTGAAGCCAGCTGATTATGGGCTGAAACTTCTACAAATTGTGAGCTGAAAAAACATTTGCCCTTTACCTGGGTGTTGGGTATTTTGCCCCAAGAATGAGAAAAGTAACACAGTATCTTGGGGATGGCATCCACCCAACTCTCAGGTCAACAAAGGTATGGTTTGCCCTACCCAGAGACCACTGTTTAGTACATGAATATGAGGCCTATCATTGGGCCCATTCTGCAGGGTAATTTCCTTCCTATATGAGTGATTCTCTTCTGTCACCCATATCTAGCAAGTAGAGAGGGCTCTGCTGGCTTGGCACGTGACACACAGCTTTACCAGCACACCACTTCCTTGTTTCTCCCCTACCTGGGTTTACTCTAACTGTTAAGTTACCTGTGACCATGTTGTTCACTGGATAATCCTGAAGCGGGAAGTACATCTGCTTTTCTATAACTGGATCCCTTAAAATATTCTCTTCTGTGCTATAAAATGAAACAAACATCTGTATATATGTATATGTCATGCATATATACATTTCTATACACACTGCACATGCTCATGCACTAGGACCTCGGTGTTCTCTGGGAGACTCGATGAGCACCAAATTGTTTTGGGTGGAAAAGTACCATGCAAGTGAAGTCCCAGGACAAAGTTTTCACGTCACAATGCTCCAAGTACCAAATTCAGAGTTTCAAAGCAATCAAGTACTAAGGTTTATTTATTTATTTATTTATTTATTTATTTTGTGTGTGTGTGGCCAGCTCAGCCCACCAGGGGGCGGGGCTGGCTGGCATGTGGTGCTGGGGGATTGAACCGTGGTCTCTGTGTTTTGCTTAGCTCAGCTTGTTCTAAGTAGGTGCCTTAGACCACTGAGCCATCTCACCAGCCCCAATCAAGTACTAAGGTATAAATGTATGTATTACATGTGTAGATGTGTGTTACAACTGAGAACTTACTAGCTTATTTCAGGCAATACATATTGTATTTTTTCCTTTTTTGGTGGGGCCGGGGATTGAACTCAGGCCCTTGTGCTTGCCAGGAAAGCGCTTAGCGCTTACTCTACTGAGCCATCTCCCCGGCCCTACATATTGTATTTTAATGGTTCTTTGATCAGACTTTAGTTTTACTGAACAAAAATATTAACTGTAAACTTCTTTTGGGCTTCTAAGTAATTGAAGGGCCTGTAAGATATTTTTAGTTCTCTTGGCCACTTTACAAACCAAGTATTCACTGAGCATGTAAATGCTTGGGCCTTTTTCTCAGTATCAGTGAAAGCAGAACAGCAATACCACAGATTGAGATAAAATATGCAGGATGTGTGTGTGCATCTATGCAATCTTAACTATACCAAAGAAAGCACCACATATTCTATCTTAAGAGATTAGAGCACTTTCGCTTTTCAGCGTTCAGTATTAACTAATACTCACATACTTTACCACAAGTGAAAAAAAAAAGTATCTGGGAAAACCATGAGATACAACAAGATCTTGAAGTGATTTGTTTTCTATTCTTTTCTTTCTTTCTTTTTTTTTTTTTGGAAGTGATTACTGACTTTAAAAAGCAATGGAGAAAAGATAAAAGCCACAGAAAAGTGCAAAATGTTAATAAATGAGAAGAACTTCACAGCAATTAGAAGTCAAAGAAAAACATAAAATAAGATTCCACTTTTTTCTATTAAATTATAACAGCATTTCATTAATATTCAACAGTAAATTATTTATTTATTCTTTATGAAACGGGGTCTCACCTGAGCTCAGGCTGGCCTCGAGCTCACCATGCTCCTCCTGCCTCAGCCTCCCTGTGCTGGGGCTATAGATGTGTGCCACCACACCCGGCTACTAAATTTACTAAACTGTAAATTTGTAAGTTGGGAGAAATAAATGGCATTATTCTCAATGGTCTTTAATTAAATGAACATCTCTTTTCTGATAAACTCCACATCTCAGAATTTATATAGAGGAAATTATCTTAAAAGCAGAGCAAGATTTGTCTTAGCTTTATCTTATTTATGTATTTATTTGGGGAACTGAGGATTAGACCCAAGGCTTTGCAGTGAGGTATATCCGTAGCCTTTTTTAAATTTTTTATTCTGAGGCAGGATCTCACTAAGTCACTAAGTTGACTAGGCTGGGCTCAAACTTGTGGTTCTCTGCCTCAGCCTCACAGAGACCTGGGTCACAGTTTATTTTATGTTCTCACTACACTGTCTGGGAGATGGACAAACACACACGGAGGCTTTTTTTTTTTTTTTTTTTTTTGCGAAACCAGGGATTGAACTCAAGACCCTTGTGCTTGCCAGGAAAGCGCTTATTCTATTGAACCATCTCCCCGGTCCCACAAGGAGGCTTTAGGCAGACACAACCTATAAGGTGTATTCATTTGCCTTGTTTATGATCTTTTTTTAAAAAATTGTATTGCATTTTTTTGGTTGAATTGTTTTTTAGAGAAAGTTTATTTTTGGGGGGCCGGGGAGATGGCTCAGAATAAGCGCTTCCCTGGCAAGCGCAAGGGCCTGAGTTCGATCCCTGGTTCCGCAAAAAAAAAAAAAAGTTTATTTTTTTATTTTTGGTGCCAAGGACCAAACCCAGGGATTCCAGCTTGCTAAACAAGCTGGAGCCAAATCCCCAGCCTTGGGTGTATTCATATTCTTTGTTAATTTTACTGTTATTGGATTGGACATACTCTTCCCAGATTTATAAGATCTCTCTAAATGCTAAGTAAATTAGCCTTAATGAAAGAAAAACCTAAAATGGAAAAAGTATGTAAGTCAGTCCAGGGCTGAGGAGATAGCTTGGCAGTCTAAGCGCCTGCCTGGCAAGTGCAAGGACCCACGTTCGATCCCTAGTACCACATGTAGTGCCAGCCCCGGAACCCCAGGTGCCCCCTGCCAGCCACTGAAACCAGACAAAGTGGCACATGCCTGTAATCCCAGTACTGGGGAGGCTGAGACAGAAGGATCACTATAAACAAGTCTAAGCTGTATAGCAAGACCCTGTATCAAATAAATACATATATACATATATACATACATACATACTAAATAAGTCCATTAACCTTCATATGAGGCAAGTTACCAATCAATTATTACAGCCAAATAGCACCCAAATAACCAATGTTCCCTATGAACTTTGAAAACAGAGAACTGAAAAATATGGAGGGAGGACTAGATCAGAAGTTAAGTCGGGGGCTGGCGAGATGGCTCAGTGGTCTAAAGCACCTACTTGGAACAAGCTTGGCAAAGCACAGGGACTGCAGTTCGATCCCCCAGCACCACATGCCAGTCAGCCCGCCCCCTGGTGGGCTGAGCTGGCCACACACACACACTAAATAAATAAATAAATATTAAAAAAAAAAAAAA